ACCTCAATGTGCCAATGTGTGCCTCGACGTGCCAAGCTCACGGTTGTACTTATTGAAACGGGATATATCATCCGGGAAACTGTACCTTCAATTTCATTAAGAGAGCAAATGCAAGCGTCCATCGAGCTGACTGAAGGCAGTATTCTGTCAAGGAAATAGAAAACGCGCATGCGTATCGCCGTGCTTCACGCTGTAATCGACAGCACCCAGAAATTCTAAGTGTATAGTTTTTTTCTTTTCCTTTTTTCCTTCTTTTGTCAGAGGGCGAACACCAGGGCTCACAGAAAGCACGCCGAAATTGTGAGATTATTGTTTTTTTCTTCCGGTTTTTACTCTTGTCTTAGAGTTAACTGCAGGGCACACAGAAAGAACACCGAAATTCTATTTGTATCTTTTTTTTTTTTCCCCTTTTTTCTTGTCATAGAGTTAATTCTATGGCGTTTTTTACTTATAAATTAAAACTAATAGATAGAACATTGTTTTGAACCCAGTCTAATTTAACACACTCGACGGCTCCATTTTCTGTCATCCAAGATTAATTTAATGCAAAGCGTACGAAGAGCATCCACAAAACAGCAACAAAAAGAAGATTGTAATCACAATACGTCTCTTGCAATAATCAAGTCATGGATTGAGATATGAATACAGAACTCCAGCTTCCTCAGTTGTCATGTACAATAGTCTGTTTCCATCTCAGTGGAGTGAGCGCTATTACATAGGCTGATTTTCTTCTAGTGGTTAGCCCGTGAACCTAACGATCGGTTGGCAACATTGCCAGGAAACAACTGAAAACTAGCATGGCACGGTTGAAGTAGTCATAGAGCGTTAAGCTCGCTACTGGGTCCTGTATAATCTCGAAGCTGAAAATAGATTTCGTAGTATAAAACGGGAAAGACGGCAAGGGAGAGCAGGGATGGAAGGAAGCGGGAGTGTAAAGTAGGAAGAACGTTCCTTTCCCTTTCTCGTTGCGTTTTGCTGCTCCCTAACCCCTTCCCTGGAACGTGGCTAAGTTTAACACAAAAGATATCCTTATTTTAATTAATAGTCAATTAGAACTCTCCTGTAAACGTGTCCGTTAAAATGGACGAATAAAGCACAATATAAATTCTTTTATAATGTTGTTAAAAGTGTGACAGGCCTGACACGACTCCTGCGGGTTTCGTGATGTTGTATATAATTAGTTTGACCTTTATAGTTTTGTTCTAGCGTGTATATCTTTTAGAGATCTGCCTCTTATGTAGGAGGTAATGGGTGGTTCCCGAAAAATCTCTCGAAGCAGGGGTTGTTTCTCAATGATATGCCATTTGCCCATTAAAATCTTTTTGAGATTTGGCACTGATGGGTTGTATTTTGTGACGAAAGGCAATATGATTGATTGTGTGATTACAAACAATAATCTCAATAGTAATTTAAAGGAGGAATTTCGCCTGAGATCCGTCAGTTCCATAATAAGCCAGCTGATAGGCAAGTTTTTGGGATTGTAAAGACATTCAAATGTATGTTGGCAAAATAAAACGATATGACTTAACGAGTGGAAAACCGAACACTTCAAAGCCTTGGTGAAAGTAATCACACAATGGACACTGCAGATCGTATCATCTTGACTGGTCCTAATAGCAAGTGGGGTTATTTTAAAATTTTGGCTCATAAATCAACTGGCTTCGCAATTCCATTATAACAGAAACAATACCATATTTGTTTAAAATCTTTGATCGTCAACGTCGCTAGTGAGAAGCTGGATGGGACTTGTAACTATTTCTTGTAGGACTTATTACTACTATTCATTAAAGAACTAGCATTTCTTCGGGACCCAGATTTCGAGAGAATACGGTAATTCCAATGCCCTGATTGGCTAAGGATTGTGACGAAGACTGTGCTTGCTTGCCCTTTAATGTTAGGGAAATCGAGCTAAAAGAAAGTCAAAGAATTCACTATTTTCTAACTGCCTCTACCATGCCCAGTTAACGAGTTTTCATGTTGTGTCTGCCTATTATGTATGACTTGTAGATATTACTATAAACGTAAGGGATACAAGCGATAGCAGGAAATCGGAAATCAATCGCTTGATCTGAGTTTAAACGGTTATTGATTTTTTTTATTTGGAATGGTGTCTGCAAATTTCTGCTCTCTTTAGTTTATTATCGATGTCCAATTGACATTACCTGGTACGATTTCCTTCATGGCATCAATTGATACCGTCAAAGTAGAGGAGGAAAGAATAAGTTGCCTTTCCTCCTTGCTAAATGGTACTAAATAGAAAGAAAGTAAAATAGAAAAGGCAAATAAAACTGAAGTCGTAAATTACGCGATTCCTTTTTATAACTTTTGGATGCGCGAAGACCAGAATCGCGATTCATCTGGAATTTTTTTGCTCAAAAACATTGCCAAAGTAAGCCCAAAAATTAGCACCTCAATATCGAACAACATCTTTGAAAATAATAAATAAAAAAATAATAAATAAATATTTATATAGCGCCTATCCATGCCTGCTCTAGGCGCTGTACAATTCGCCAAAA